CCAAAACCCCAAAACCCCTACAAATGGGATTTTGTAAAAATTAAACGAAATTTGATTTAATAACAAAAATATTAAAATAATTCTATCGAAAAAGGAAATGCTGCGACATTAATCAGAGTAGCCAAGTGATATAATTTTCGAGGCAGAAGAAGATCTTTATTAATCACCAACAAAATAAATCTTAATGCTCAAAGGCTCTGAGAGGACTGTACAACTTACTAAGAATAGAATGTTTTAGTCTTATGTAAATGAGTTTTGCGGAATGGTTGGACTTGCTTCTAATACTTTGAGACTGCAAATAGAAAAAAGAGAAATCAATCCACACAAGCTAGTTAATAGTAGTTGTTTAATCAAGGTTGCTCATACTCCAGAGTTTCATAATGCCCCTAATAACTCGTTAAAACCTTCTTTAAGATCTATACTTGAGTAGGGTTATTGCTCAGATTTGAAGCTAGTATTTAAATCAAAGACTATTCCAGTGAATAAGTGCATACTTACTTCAAGATCACAAAAGTTCGCTTCAATGATTTGCAGTAGCACTGAAGAAATTAAGTTTCCACATGTAAGTAATTATGATTTTTAACAATTTGCTAGAAAAATATCAAGTCTTTTTGGAGACTATTGATATGGATCTACTCCGGGGAGTTAGATGTGCCAGATGATATCATTGAGACAATAGACCTATTTTACTTAGCCTAGGAGTTTTAAGTCATTGATCTAATGTGGAGGTGTGAGGAGGAAATTATACTTAAGATTAGTCCATCAAATGTAGTAGATGTATTAGTAAAATACTATCCAGCATTGACAAGAGATGTGATAATTGGGAGTAGCAATGATGATGACTTAAATTTAGAAGAAGTTAAATCCTTAGCCAATGATGAATTATAGTATACTAGTCCTAATGAAGATAATAATCCATAATTGCAATCACCAATAAGTGATACCTATAAAGCAGAACTCTCTCAAAACATACTAAACGCATGCAAATCTGTCTTTATCAAAGAATTCCCTGATGTTGTCTTGAATAATCCAGATTTAGAGTAGAGATTAGCATCAGTTCCTGGTTTGATTATTGCTCTATTCAGCCACATCAATGAATAGAAGCATCGTAAGAAGAAGAATAAGGTTAGATTTTCATTTGTGGAAGAGATCCATACTCCTATATCATTTGAACATTAGTTTGGAGATAACATAACTGATACCCATTCAGAAAGTTCAAGCAGAATATGATATACTTTAAATCAAAATAAAATAAAAAGAAAACTTTGCTCTTGATTTCCCGATTTATATTCGATTTTAAATTTATTTAATCATCTATATTTTATAATAAAAAATGGTAGTCATGGGGTTTTGGGGTTTTGGGGTTTTGGGG